CTCTCTCTCTCTCTCTCTCTCTCTCTCTCTCTCTCTCTCTCTGTTTCATTAGCCAGTCATATAAGCCTGGCTGTGACAGTCAGCATGGAGTTTTAAGGTTTGGCAGATACCTTTCTGGAAATGCTTCCCAAAGCAAGATGCTCCACAATTATACAAAGTCTCCATTGCCATATTGGGTACCACAAGTGAAGTGTCTTGGGGAGTCTCAGTTTCCAAAACAGCATGTCCACAGATGCTAAGTAACCCTGGGTACTACTGGTACCCCATAACACCCCATGCCCAGCTTTCCCTATCTGGAGTCCCCAGCTGCTAAGCCCACTCACCCATCAGAGCCTGGCCTGGAAGGGGTGCTGTCGGAGGAGAGGGAAGAGACGGAAGCCACGGACAGAGGCCGGGAGGATGATGGCATGGTGAAGGACCGCACCATGGAGCGTGGACGGCTGCCTCTCCTATCATCTAGACCTGAGGGCTGAGAGAGAAAGAAAATGTGTTAACACCTGGGCCACTGTGGCCAGATTCCTATGCTGAAGCAGTCTCAGCAGTGTGGGATCAAGACCACATGGGCCCACAGTTCATAAACCAGTTCCCTTGTTGCTCTGAGCTGAGGAGAAAGTGAAGAAAACTTCAACATCTCTTGAGTCCTGACTCAACTGAAAAGGATTCCAGAGAGAGACTTCCTGGCCTTTTTAAATATAATTTTCTTCTCCAAGACACACCAACCTGTCCTACAGTGATGTTACGCACCAGGAAGTTCAATGCAGAGTGTGTCTAGAGTGACTAAGGAATGTGTAAGATCTTTATATGACCTTTGTTCAACTGCACATTAACATCTGAGCCAGATGTCCAGGTTTATAGAACTATACTGGTTCCAAGTCTTCCCTATAGAGGAGACCTCCACACACTCCAAGTAGATCTTTGCTGGTGAGTGATGGGGATGAACAGAAGCCTGGGCTAGGCTATGGAGTGTCCCTTCTCCCAGAAGAGAACCAATGACACATTCCAAGAAAACAGTCACAAGGTAGAATTTTCTAGTCTCTCTTTGACACCTTGCTGTACATTACTAAAAACCAATGCCAACAGGATACACCATGTATCTACATTTAATTATGTAGGAAACACAGGTGTGCCTGAGCCTGGAGCCAGATGTTGGCACATCTGGTCCACAGCTGTTTCACAAATACTTTCATTGGGGTGGCAGAAATCACATTTCTGTATGTCCCCCCTCCCCTTCTGTTGCATCAGCCTCCCCACACCACCCCAGGATGCTGGCATGTCACACAGCCAATTGCCTACAGGACAGTTGATCTGTATCACAGTCCCAGCCCATGGAGGCAGCAAGGTGTTGATTACATATTCTTTAGGGCCGCTGTTGAAATGATCCTACTGTTAATAAACTTTATGAAACAGGAGGTGATCCCTGGTACAGTGCTGGCCACTGGCTCAAAGCAATCAGCATCTGGGGTTGCAGTGGGCATCTCCATGGATATGATTAATCAGCCACCAGGAGGAAGCTTCAAGGGGTAGGATGCCATGTAGATTTTCCCAAATTGTGGAAATGTTTCCTCTATGACATCTGGAGACATGAAGTCTACACCATAACCACCAGGTGGAAGCTTCAAGGGGTAGGATGCCATGTAGATTTTCCCAACATGTGGAAATGTTTCCTCTATGACATCTGGAGACATGAAGTCTACACCATATCCTCTTCTAATCCTTTCTGAAGCACTGCTGGTATGCAGAATGATATGTTCTCTGTAGGGTATCCCCTCTGTCTTGGTCTAGACCCAGAGATGCAGCTGCTTGTCCTTGCTAATCGAATTGATTCCAGGGTGGAGTTCTATCTAGGTCCATTCTGACCTGCTCATCACCACCCAAACCCTGGGCTACCTGCCTGGGATGCTATCTATTCTCTGGAATTGCTGAGGATTTGTGTTTTGAATGAGACCTGGTCATATCTTTGGCCTTCTCAAACCCACACTGTGTCAGGACATTCTTCCACAGGGTTGGAGGTGGAGGATCAGTTGGGGAAGGTGATTATGTCTCTGAAGATCTATCTAGCTGGGGAGGGGCTGCCTTCCCAATTTCCCAGAAAGTGTTTCAAGCTTGACTCTATTACTCTCCATTTGGCATGTAGGTTGAGGAAAAAAGGAAGGCAAGTCAACTTCAGGCTCTGCTGACTTCTGTAATTTGGGGGTCTGCTGCCTTGTATTTTACCACCATCTGGGCAGGTGAAGGAACAGCTAAGCAGACAAGGCCAAGCCCACAGCTGGGAAGAAACTTGACCTGCTTGGTATATGGGTGGGGAGGTGTCCTAGCACTGTGTGCCCGAGAACATCCAGCATGTGGGTTGCTATGTCTGTGGTCTTTCCAGAAGACATGGAGGTTCATGAATGGGTCCACAGAAGGAGACCACTGGGGGCCAGAAGGTGCAAAGGTCAGGGAAGCAGCTCTAGCCTCCTACTGTCAACCAGCAAGGGTTGGCAAGGTAAGCTTAAGTCCTGGTTGGGATGCGCACATAGCATGGGATGTATAAGAGGAGGAGGTCAGGGAGTAGGATCTGGCCAAGGATGGACAGGAGCCCTTATTGGAGACTGTGCTTGCAGGGCACTCACTGAGAGGAGCTGTGGGCTCTTCTGGACCATTTGTCTCACCACTTCCTCACTGAGTAGAGCTTCAGAATTCTGGAACTAAGAGGACTTTCATCTGTTCCATCTGAAGCAACTAGAAACTCACCTAAGGACCAAGAGGTAGCTCAAGGCCATAATAACAGGAATGCCTTGCTTTCTGAATGTTCCAGTCACAGGGACAAACAGGTGAGGAGTAGAAAGTTAGAGCAGGCTAGATATTTGTCTCCAGCAACAATTGTGTGAAGGTGTGCACAATATGGAACCTCTGCAAGCCTCTTTCAAGACATGCAGAGAGCCCTCTCCCACTGTGGCTCCAGCATGAGGATGAATGCAGGCGAGAGCTATAAGGCTTGGCACAAGTCTGATGGCAGCTTCTGTTGACCTTGCCTTGTTACCTTGGTATCCGGACAGTGACCTTCTGGCCCTGCCCTGTTTCTCTGAACTTTGCATCTTTGCCTCCTGGCTGAAGTTTACTTTCCAACCATGACCATGAGTTTTACTGACCACTGAGTCACGGACAGAAGGTGACTTCATAAAGGGAGAGAAGTAGGTGCATTTTGGTTTACTTAAAAGGTACCTGTGGACTGCATACTCAAGCATCATGTTGTCCCTGGAAGGAGCCAGGTTTGGGGCCATTAGAAGCAGTCCTGGAGCAGGGGCCTGGTTTGAGTCTCCCAGTAGGTAAAGTGGTCCAGCACTGCCCTGGAGATGCCATTAGGGCCAGCATGAGAGATAGAAGATTGGACTCTGAAGCTGTCAGATGGAACACTGATGTACTGGGCTGTGGGATGGAAGGCAACTCACAGGGAGCTACTAGTAGGGGCCACCTAGAGTAACGGACATAGAGAGGCCCACCCAGCAGCTGGTCTGAATGGTGGTTTGCTTCAAGTGAGGAGATGGGTGGAAGAAAGAGAGCAGAGCCAAGCAAGGTGTCCTGGCCCTCACCAGACTTTAGGAAGAGGACAAGAGGGACAGTAAACAGAAAAGGGTTTTATGTGTGTGGAGGTGAAAACAGATACCCTCGAGTGCTGTGGGCAGCAAAGGTAGAGGCCAGTGCTTGTTTGTTTCCATTCTGTGAGGCTCTTGGGGTCTGTTCTGTGTCCACCCAGGAGGCAGTGTCTCCTTAGATCCCCAGAATCGACAAAAAAGACACAGGAGCAAGCAGGAGAGGCCCTTGCATTATGCAGTCAGAGAGTGTCTAGAGCGTCCCTTTCTGGGGCTTAGGCTGGCTCAGAAACATTGACAAAATGGCTTATGTCCTTTCTGTGGGTTTTTTATTTTAAAACCTATCCTTTGGAAAGAGGATGATATAATATTGGTCTTGAAAGTATTCTGAGATGCTTGCTGGTTTCCAAAGTAGGTAAGACAAGACAGGTACCTCCCAGACTGCCTTTATGACTACATTCCTATGACCACATCCCTCATAGAAGGACAGGCTGCAGTCTGTGCCATTGTCTACCCAGAAAGACTAGCTGCAGAGCCTTATTCTGGGCCCCAGGATGGAGCAGGACTCAGGAAGGTTGCTTCCTGCATCATAGTACCCACTGGTGCAAATGCTCCCTGAATTCTGTCTCCAGACCTCACTCTGAAGGCCTCACTGGCCATGGGTGGGATGTCTGGCTGCCCTCTCCATGAGAAGCATGGCATTTGGAGAAGGTGATGCCAAAATTGGTCTCGAGCCAAGGATGGGTGCCAAGGCACCAGGGAAACCTGTCTTTAAAAGATACCCATAAACTTTATAAATGCCCTCCTCCCCTCCCCACACTACTGCCACCTTCCTGCCCTAGCTTTCTATTTTGATCTGTTTCATAGCAGAGGAGAGATGTAAAAAGTGCCAGGCAAGACCAATAGGCTTCTTTCATTGTGGAAGATGTATTAAATGACTGATAAAATAGGAAGCTTCGAACAAAGTTAAAAAAGTTGGAGTCCAAACAACTGGTTAATTCTTAGAAAACATCAAAGCAGCACAAAACTCAGGAAGAGTTGCCTTCTGACACACCCACAAACTCTTTGCCACTCAACCCTGATTGTGACAAGCTGTGGGCTGCAAGCTATCAAGCAATGCTGACTCATTCTGAGTCGCAGAAGGGTCCTCCAGTGGGGTGAGGCTCCCCATATCCTGGGTTGTTTACCTGCAGTGGATCCCAAGCTGCTGGCTTACAGATCAGAGCCTAGGATGATTTTCTTCTGTCAGGCTTATATGTCCTGCTTGGTCCATGACAAAGAACTGGCCTTGGGTTTGGAGATGCAGGCTCTGCCATGAACCATGCTCAGTGGGGGCTTGTCTGTAAGAGCACATCTGCAGGGCTCTTTGCATTGCTGGAAATCAAAGCTGTCCTTTTGTCATGCTTCTGACCCAGCCCTAGTCCAGAAACTTTTCAGGAACTCATTACCAGAGCCATCCCATTTCATGTCCTGAGCACAGCCTGCTGCCCATGTGGTGCTCCTGGCTCTTGGGAGGATGCTTACCTTTCCACCTGCAGCCTTCGTCTGCACTGGCTCCAGCCTGCCACTCAAATCCTTGCCTGCCTCCCAACCTGGATCATTTCTACCTCCTCCAGGAGCTGCGTCTTCAGCAACAATTTAGAACACCAGTAACCCATCTCTTCTCCCTTCCTGGCCATGGTGTGTGTGTGTGTGTGTGTGTGTGTGTGTGTGTGTGTGTGTAAGACAGAAGAGTACTTTGGGGAGCCAGTTCTCTAGTGCTGCTAGATGTATATGCACGTAGAGGTCAAAAGACAACCTCAGGTAAATTTCTTGGGTGCTGTCCACCTTGTACTATGAGACAGTTATCTCTCATCTTTCCTGGAGCTCTACAAGTAGGCGGGGCTGACTAGCCAGTGAGCTTCAGTGATCTGCATGTCTCTGACTTCCAAGCATTGGGATTACATATGTGTGCCATCATAACCTGGTTTTATTTTATTTCACAGGACCTTTTGTGGATTGAACTTTGGCCCTTATACTTGGAAGGAAAACTTGCTACTAATAAAGCTATCACCCTTAGCCCACTGGCCATGGTTCTTTTGTCTGCTTGTTTGTTGTTGAGACAAGGTTTCTTGGTATAGCTCTGGCTATCCTGAAACTTCCTTTGTAGACCAGGCTGGCCTTGAACTCACAGAGATCTGTTGGCTTATGCCTCTCAAGTGTTGAGATTAAAGGTGTGTGCCACACTTCAACCTCAAGCTAAACATCAACTTACTCCATCTCTGCTTTGGGATACCATGAGTGCTATATTTACTGAGAGTTATACAGCTCTCCAGATATGACATGTCTGGTGCTCTGTAACCCAACTCAAGGACCTCTGAGAAATTTCTCCATGACTTTGAGGGACTAGGACTAGTCTATCCCTGGTGGGCAAATAGATAGGAAGAAGTGCCATGACTAGGTAGGTGGCAAACTTTCCAAGACTGTTTTTTCCCTCACCCACTTGACCTGAGACAAAAACCTGGCAGTTTAAAACAAAGGCCTTGTAGTCTTTTTCTCCCTCCAGCAGATGGATGGACTTACTCAACAAGTTCAAGGCCTGATCAGTTGTGGGCCAAACAGCCATCCTGTCTTTAGTCAAACTGACCAACCCTAAATTAGAGGAAGAAGACTCTTCAGAGACCAAAAAAAAAAAAACCAAAAAAAAAAAAAAAAAACCAAACCCTCCAACTCTGGAGCCAAAGAACCTGGATTTTCCAGTTCTGGACCTCTCCCTCCCCCAGGCACTCACCTCCTCTTCGGAGGGTCTTTTTCTCTGTGTGCCTGCTTGACAAATGCCTGCTGTGTCAACCTTGACAAATGCCTTTCTTCAGCTACTCTTTGTGGTGTTCAGGATACATGTGTGTATCTCCTCAACCTTGACAAATGCCTTTCTTCAGCTACTCTTTGTGGTGTTCAGGATTTCTCCTTTGCTACCTGTCACACTGGAGATCTTTTTTTTCTCCCTTTTAATTCTATGACTGGCCCTATCAAGACCCCTGGACTGCATCACCCTCAACAGCTGACTACTCAGAGAAGATGAACAAGGTGTTTGGTAATTGACAAATCTTATAAAATGGGCTGATAAGAGGCTGAGGTCTCTAATACTCCATTTCCTAGCAGGCATTACAGAGGCCTTAGTCCCTCTGCTCCAATAGGACACTCCTCTTCTGGGACCTGCCCACTTACCATGGTCCTGACACCATACTGCTTTTCCACTTTTTCCTTCAGCTGCTTGAAGCAGGCTTCCATGCGCTCGTGGAATGGCCTCAGTGCCTCAGTGACTTTGTCTCCATGAATCCTGATCCCTTCAGCCAAGAATGGAATCTGAAAAACACAGGTTGGCATTCCTGATTTGGGGGGTGGGGGACAGTCAAGAGGGAGCTAAGCACAGCAGGAGGAAGTGACAGCAGGTTGGTTGCACTTGCCTTTGTTCCCAAATCAGAGTGACTGGTTAAACTCATAGCAGGCAGGTCATCCCCCAGAGAGGGGAATATTTAACTAAGAACTGTTTGGGTCTTGAGCTCCCCACATCCTGGGCACTTTGTTATTTGGCAGGGGTGGGAGGAGTCTTGTTCCCCAATTGTCCCAGAATAGACTCAACACTAGTGTTTCTCCTTGGAGTTTGGAGACAGATGTGATTTGAATGTGTTCACATGTACCTTGTTTTCTGGTAGCAAAAGGTCATGCCACAGTCCATTCATCAGCTGAGAAGACTGTATTTATAGGCAATTGAGAAGCCTACCCCAAACATAACAATCCAATTATAGGTGATCTACAGTCCTGATGGATAGTCTTACTTGGAAAGGAAAACTAAATTTATTCTCCCTTAGAACCAAAAATAATCGCTTCTCTGCCGACACTATTGTCTGTCACAAGATATCCATGCCAACTCTTCACTTCCGTAGCAATGATGCTGACCTTCAAAATCGTCACATGAGACATTTTCATTCTCCCAGTGGCAGAGACCTCTAGAGCTGTTGGAGCTAGTGGGTGGGCCAGGGAGCAGGCTCCATTCTGTGCCTGGTACTCAGACTGGAAGTTAGTCAGTCTTCAATGCAATCAAGCTAAGAGGCTTCCTCTTAATAATTTATAATTAAATAAAAATACTGATTAAAAACTGATTTTCCTAATAAGATAGAATACCAATCGGAACCAGCATATTTATTAGTAAGAGGGATAATAAGTACACAATTGAATTTCATGTGAACAAACTCAAGGAATCTTAGCAAGATGAATCAACTCATGAGCTGTATCTGCTTCCATTTATAGCACACAGCTGCTGCCTCTCTTGTACTCCAGGAAAGGAGGGGCACACAAGTACCCCCATATTCAAAGCACCCAGCCTGCTCAGGAGGCATTGACAGAAAACTTTGTTTTGCTGATATTTGAGCCTAAACTCAAGGCATGAGACAGTTGCTATCTGTCTATCGCAAAAGGCCTGTGTGCAGGTGAACTTTCAGAACAAGGTGTTTTCATATTCCCTATGAATTCCTCATGGAGATGGCAGCTTCTCCAGGGCTTGCTACCATGCACCCAGGACCAGCCTTAGAAATGTTCACCACTAATCTTTGGCTTCCTGGAGTTAATGACAAAATGATGCTGGTATATCTTTGGGTGGGTGGCAAATGTGTTGTCTGTGGAAGAGGAGGGGGTGAACAAGTGAGGGAAGGCTGTCTCTAGGTGAAACCATAGTCACTGTAGACACTGGGAGCCTTTCTGATTTAGAATGACTGTCTCAAGCATGCAAAATGCAATCTAACCATCCTGTGTTTGGCGGTGGTGGTGATGATGGTTGGGACTGGTGATAAAATATTCTTTGTATCAAAGCAGCTACTTGATGGATGAGAGTGATAGTTGAGACCCTTGTTTGCACTGGGATTGCTGGAAATTGTGGCTTGGCAGGTGAGACTTACGAGGTGAGAGAATACACCACTCTCAGTCAACCCTGACACTGAGCAGATAAAGCCTTCTCATAGAATGGGATTTAGCCCCTGGTTCTCCGTCTATTTGGAGCTGAGCTGCAGCTGTGATTCTAAATGGAAGGAAATAAAAAGCTATTCTATGCAGCTCTGTCCAGCATATGAGGTGCTTAATATACGGAGGGAAGTCATAGACCTAGGGCCTGAAATGGTCTTTGTAGGCCTTTTTGTTCCATATGTTCAAAATATCTCTAGCAGGCAGATTCCTAACCCCATCCACGATTGCCACAATTGCCATAGGACCCAGAAACTGTGCCCCACAGTTTGAGTCACTATAGGTACATTTTGGAATCTGTTATTTCTAAAGGGCTCCAGAAGAGAGAGAGAGAGAGGGGGCTTTCCCAGACACACCTCCAGTTGTTCAAAGTGAACCTTCAGCCCTTTCTCAAGCATTGTGTTACGTGTGCCCTGTACAGGTCCGAGCCTTGCCAGCAGCAGGGAACATCTGAGCACTTTGTTCATCTCTCTGAAGGCATCAGTCCCTGCAGTAAGGGCGGTGCCTATTGTCAGCTGGAGATGATGAGTGAGGTTGCTCTCTTATCTTTGTACGTTTCAAAGAAAATAAGTATGTTGTGGAGAAGCTTAATAGGAAAAGGCATGGGCTCATCTTTGGACACTCTGCAGGTGTGTTGGAAAGACAGAGGTGAGCCTTTAAGGAAGTTGCTCCTGACTATCAACTGCAAAGTCTGCAGGCTCCAGGCAGCCTGCATCATGCCCAGACTTCCAGCTGGTAAGGTCATCAGCCAGGTCATCACTATCCTTATCTTTGGAACCATGAAGCAAAGCTGAGGAAAGGCAGGCTGGGCCTGACCAGCCAATCTTATTGGTAATGTAGGCACCAAGAGACATGCTTGTTTATGGCCGTACACCTGTGATGTAACTCAGCCAGCAAGCCCCGGGACTCCTCCCAGAAGAAACCCTGCTCTGCCTGGATAGAATTTCTGCAGAAACTCACACTGAATAAACTAATGAGCAAAATGAGAACAAGGCTAACTGTAACGCTCTCATTTTTTTAATGAACATACAACTCAATTACCGATGCGAAGATATCAAAACACTTGCAAATGAGAGCAAAGTCACAGGTAATATTCTGAATATGTTTCCCCCCCCCACTTTGGTCTTTGATTTAATGAAGTTGCCAGAAAACAGACTCCTTCTTTCAACTTTACCATGAGCTGCTTTAAAATTCATCTTTTAATATAGTTATTAGGGGCAATGACATGGTGTGGGCAAAGAGTCTCTCTCTGGGGAACAAATTATTTTCCTCTGTATGACTTGAAGCTCGTAAAATCCAATTTGCTGTAAAAGCTTACAGGGGGAAAAAATCAATAGAACTTCTACAGACCAAACTAGGTTTTGTGTTATAGCATTCTGGGGTGTTTAGAATTCTGTGCCCCCTTGGTTTCTAAGGTCTCAAATGGAATCATCCAAAATTTAAGCTCTTTTCCACTTTTTCTTTTTAAAATAAAAGTAAAAGGGAGACTATGGAAGTGACTTACATTCTGGGTGAAGAAATCACTATCGCCCAATAGTGTTCCTCCCTTAGTGTTCAGAGGGACCTTATCATGTCACAAAACAATTCCAGGGCAATCAGACTTTAAGAGATTTATGAAAAAAATCAAAACATTTCTTTTTTATGTAATTCTCTTAAAATATATAAAGCTGCACATGAATGGAAATGGCCATGATATGAAAAAAGAAACCCAAATAATAACAAGTCTTGGTGAAGATTCAGAAACTAGATACTTGTACTCCTATTGTTTGGTGTATAAGATGACTCACCTATTGTAGATTAGTTTGGTAATGGCTTAAACCTCAGACCTAGAATTTCATATACTACAGATCTACCCTCAGTATATGCAGAGTACAGAAAGCAGGGAGATGACAGGTATTTGTGTGAACATGCATTGACATGTTCATTGCATCACTAGTCACACGAGCCACAAGGCAGACACAACCTAAATGCTTGCCGATAGATGAATGGATAAACTCTGTCATATCCACAGAAGAATATTATTGAGTTTTAAAAAAAGATATTCTAACATAAGCTACAATGTGGACGAACCTTGAAGCTGAGGGAAGAAGGGACTGGGGAGCACAATTACACCTGGTGCATTGTGTGTGTGTGTGTGTGTGTGTGTGTGTGTGTGTGTGTGTGTGTGTGTGTGTTTGTGTGCAGCACTCAGAGCTGTGAAAATCCAGTCATCTACATCTTAAATGCAAAATTTTGAAGACTTCCACCTTGGCTGCAAACCATAACTCAGTCCCACACCCTAAGTGGTCTCACTGGCCAATGTGCTGATGACAGAGATGTCACAAGGATGAGACTCTTTTAGGAGTCAGCATAGAAGGCCAGAAAGGAGCAGCTCTGTGCTGGGCCTGGTGTCCTTAGGCCCTCTCAAGAGACTAGGGCCAGGCTTAGCCATGCAAGCAGTGTGGGCACCTGTCCAATTATAGAACAAGTCTGCTAGCTCTTCACCTCCTACAGCTTGTACACATCCCTAACTCCAGCACAGGCTGGCCCACTCCCTACCTTCTGCAGTCTTGCTAGTGGAGTTACATGTCATGGTTATCACAGAGCAGGCATGTCCTTCCTGCCTGTGTGAGGAAACATGTAACAAGCTGCTCCAATGGCAGAGCAAATATAGATGGAGTGAGTGTAGAACACCCAGCCCAGGAAGCACAGACACCAGAGGGATACAAGGGCCCTCTGGAGCTCCCTTCTCTTGAAGTAGACAGCACAGAAGGGCTCAGCCTACAAGCAACAAACCACATCCTGGCAAGCACAAACAAAGAAACTCATCCTGCAGAGCAGCTTTCTCTCAGTGGAAGGGGTGGGCAGGCTGCAGCTACCCTATGATCTCTCTCTCTCTCAGACCACAGTGGCTGAGGCATGAGCTTCAGTCAGAGTCCACCTTGATATCTGATATTCTTCTATTAGTTCCAGTCACACATAGGTTTCCTAAAAGATCTTGTTCATTGGTGACACAGAATTTTTTGGGTGTTTAAGTGACTTTTTCATTGAGAGTGTGGTAATCCAGAGGCCACCATGCTGGTAGGAATGTATGTGAAGGTGCCCAGGTCACCCATCTTCCTTCCTAGTCATACCAACCTGCCAGGCTATCAGGTCCTTGAGTTTCTCGATCTGCCCATGGGCCTCAGGATGCTCCTGCAGGTATCGGTCCGTGAAGAAAGCCTGTGGAGATAGGGGGAGCTGCTCACACATGATTGCCTAGCACAGCACTGTGCATAGGAGCTTTGGGAAGGGATCCATGTACAACTGAGTCCTGCAGCCCCCTCCCACATAGTACTCCCTGCAGACCCAGGGTTGGACCCTCCCCAGGACCCAAGATCAAACATAATACAGGGAACACACAGGCAGCAGGAGTCCAGAAAGGCCACAGAAGATCTAGATTGCTCGGTCCTATTGAGTAGCAGTGGCTATGGCCCTCCCAACTGTACCAATGCCTGGAGCTCACCCTGATAGCTGATAATCTTCTCTTCCATTGATTCCAGCCAGACAAATATTTGTCTGGAGGACACAGATGTGTGTGGGGGGGGTGGAACTAACTTTTCTTCCATGATTATTGCTAGCTCATTAGGAGACCTTTTTGTCTCAGGTTTCACTGTCTAGATATGTGTCAACAAGTTTCTTTTGTGTAGGGCCAGCAGACAAATAATTTTGGTTTTGTGGACCACATGGCTCTCCATTTAGTGGCTCAAATATGTCATTGCTGTATCAGGGAAACTGTCACAGGGAAGGAGTAAATAATTGCACTCAGCCCCAGCATTTGCAAAACTGGGCAGTGGGCAGACCTGATTTAGCTTGTATCCCACGTTCTTTAATTTCTGCCCATTCCCACTGAGCTGCTATCCAGGGAAGTCAGATCCCACCCCCATTCCCCCCGACACACATTCATGTCATCTCTCTGGGGTAAATATCTGGACCATCCTTATCTCCAGAATGGAGTCTTTAGGTCCTTAATAATCCTAAAGGTTCTGGAAAGTGAGGGTGACTCTCCAGGATAGTTTTTGGGTCCCAGGGATTGAGTTTGGGAATGCTGAGTCCATCCCAGGGATGTCACGTGCCTTCTCATAATTGGCAAAGCCACCCATGACGGCAGGATCTACAATGCCATTCAGGAGCATGGACAGAGGGTTGATGGGTAGGCCCGGGTCATCCAGGTGCTGCTGGACCATGCTGCTGATCTTGTCATTGGTCAGCTGCATTGTCTCGATGGCATTCTCCAGTGGGCTGATCTCTACCTGCAAGGAAGAAAGCATGGTGGGTATCACCCCAGCTACTGCAGTATGTCCAGGTGAGGCGGCTTCCTGGCCTCCTGTATATCTTCCTCTAACACCTGGTCTCTGTGCAAATACAGGTATTTGGATGTATGAAAATCCAGTTGCCTTGTGCATGTTAATGTAGATGCAGAGGACTTTAACTTGGCTTCCCACCAGATCTCAGCCTGGCCACCCTAAATGTTCATATTGGCTAACATCCTGACTGCCTTCTGTCCACCTTGGTGGCTTTGGGATAGAGAATGAAGGTCATACAGTGGGAAGTGATCATGTCCCCAGAAGGGGTAGGCAAAGGGTCTTGAGGGCTCTGAGTAGGGGTAGGGGTGGGGTCTCCATCTTGGCTGCTGCAGCATGAAGAGGTCTGCTAGAGCAGAGACATACATCTTCATGGAAGGGCCAGGAGCTCTCACTGGCACGAGCAAAATAGAACGGTGGACACACAGAAGGGAAGAGCCAAACTGGCAAGCTTTCGTCAAGTCCTTAAGCCAAATCACCAGGTGTTTCAGGGACTCACTGTTAATTGAATGGCAAGAGCCATCTCCTGAGGTGGGATCCAGCCCAGAGAAGATACATGAACAAAAGCATATTGTAATTAGTTTTTTTGTTTGCTTTTGTTTTTTGAGACAGAATATCATGCATCCAAGGCTGGCTTCAAATTCAACGTACAGTTGAAGATAACATTGGAACTTCTGATCCTTTTATGTGCTAGGATTATAGGTCTGCACTGTCATACCCAGTTTATGTGGTGCAAGGGATAGGATCTAAGACTTCATGCATACAGAGGAAGCCTTCTACCAAGTGGGCTACTGCATACTTATGCTTTTATTGGATTACTTATATGGGTATTGTCATGGTATATCTCTGTTAGTGAAGTCATCCTATAGGTTCCCATGAATATGAGTTTGATGTAAATAAAACTGTCCCATAGTGCTTGAGATAACGTAGTGGTTAAGAGAACTAGCTGTTCCTCCAGAGGACATGAAATTGATTCTGAGCATTGACTTGGTGGCTCATAACTACCTGTAACTCCATTCCCTAGGGATTCAATACCCTCTCTTTTGGCTTCAGCAGGCATTGCATACACCTATCATACACAGGACATATATACAGGAAAAACTACCCAGTCATAAATAAAACCAAACCAAAAATTAAAAAAAAAAACCCTGTCTCACAGCAAGGCAAAGTTTGGTTTATAAAATAGGAATCATCATGTCTTTAAAAAATATGTCCCAGGAGGAATATATTCTCATGTGAAATGAGTGAACTCTATTCATTAATTGTCATGCAAATGGCAACCAAACAATCAGGAAGAGGTTTTGTAGGAAGTTTACATCAGTGGGAACATACTTTACACTTTCCATTTAGTTAAGAGAAAGAACTATCAAAGCAACACAGGTAGAGCTGACATATTAATGTGTGAGAAGGAATGGATTTCTTGTCAGCCAGCCCCAGCGGGTGGTCACACAGCTTTGGGAATAAGATGCAGGAGGTAATGGAGAGATACTGATGCTCTGAGGTACACACTGGTGACAGGCATGTAAGGGTCTGGAGCACATAACATGCCACAGAGATCACAAGGCTCTTGAGGACAATGAAGGCATGTCAAACACAACAGGAGAGGAAGGCAGATACTCTCTCTTCTGGGGTGTCTCCTTACCATGAAGACGGATTTGACTTCAAACCACCTTAAAATTCCTGGCAACTTATAGGCCGTAGTGTAAATGGTTCTCTCGATCCACATATTCTGTAAGAAGAGTCCACACAGTACATGTCAGGAGGGGGATGCCAGTTGGAGGGGACTCTCTTTTGTTGGGTATCTGTGTGACCCCAGTATGTGGGTCTTCTATCAGGAAAAGGTCTGCCTGTGTTCACACAGGACAGGTGTGTGCTGAGGGAACTCCAGGAGCCCTGTTTTACTTGACAAGCACACTCATCATGAAAGCACCCTACTTCCTGCCTATCAAACTTGTCTCTGCTGTTTAGCATAGAGTTGTAGTGGGTGAACAGGGGTGACATAAATACCTCAGGATGATAGTGTTCCCTCTTAAACGAGTGTGTTTGGGGGAGGTGTCCAAGTGAATTTTATGTTAGCCTTACCCAGGCTTCAAAAGGAAACACAAAGGCACAAATGTATCAAACGTAAAATTTCTTAAAACTGACTTCTTAAACGCTGTGGAATAATCCTTTTGTACACTGTCAAGATTTGTCACTCGAATTGGTTTAATTAAAAGCTGACTCTCTGATAACCAGGCAGGAAGTATAGGTGGGACAACCAAACTAAGGATGCCAGGATGAAGAAGGGCGGAGTCAGAGCAGATACCAGAAGACACAGAGGAAGCAGAGAGTAGGTAAGAAATATGGGTTAATTTAAAATGTACAAGTTAGCTAGTAACAAGCCTGAACTATTAGCTGAGCATTTATGATTAATACTCAGCCTCTGAGTGGTTACTTGGGAGCAGTTTGTGGGACAGAAACTTCCACCCACCCTCTTGTGTTTGGATAAAATCATTACTTCAAACAACATAATTATTATGTTCATATTCTATGTTAACATAGTGCGGAAATAGAAGGGACTCACGCACCACAGTACCACACAGTACTGATGAGGATCTACACACTGTAGTGTCCTTTGTTCAAGTCTTTCTTCCACTGGTATGCCTTCTCACATGTATATTTTGTTTTCTTTTTTAAGACAGGGTCCCATGTATCCCTTGCTGGCCCAAACTTGGTAGGTAGCTGAGGATGAACTTGAACTTCTGATCCTTAGTCCTGGGATTATAGGTGTGCACCATAATACCCCCTCATTGTATGCAGTGCAGGGGATCAGACCTAGGTCTTTTTGTATTCTGGGTAAGCATTCTACCATCCAAGGTACAGAAAGCCTCAGCCCTAGGTATATTTTAAGTGGAAGCATTTTCCAAAATGTATTTTCTATAAAGCAGCACCTCACACACTGCAAGAAATGTTTTCAAACCAATGAGACTAGTTCTATGCCTCTTTAATGGCTGGTCTACAGCTCTAGCAGTGGGGCAAACTATAACCCTCCAGACCGCTACCTTCTCAGGACTAACAAGTCACAGGGTGACAATTATACAAAGCTGGTCTGGCCTTTAGAACCTCTGAGATTCCAGAGGAAAGCAAGGGGAATGCAGGAGCTTCAGGGCCACAGGCAGATCTTTGTCTCCCAGGCCAAGTTCTTCTGCCTGTGTTCTTGGGGACTTGCCAGAGAAAGGGTAGACATTCGGAGCCTGTACACTTTCCCCTTTATGTCCTTGCAAATACCCTGGATTTACCTTGGGCTTCATGGTCAGTTCCTAACTTGGGCCCTACCTTGGCTGGCTCCTCCTTGATGGCCCTTGCTCCTGAAGTTTCACTCTCTGTCAAGCTTATAGACACTGAGCATAGCTCTTGGCCTCATAGGACAGTTTTCCTAGCATTTGACCTTGGGGTTAGAAGCCTGTAGAAGAGGCCAGGATTGGGCTAACATTCTTCTCTTTTCTGGAAGCCCGAACCCTTGTCAGATTGTGAAGGACTAAATCCTGCAGCTTCTCAATGCTTCTTCTATGGGTGAGGACCCAAATGGGGTCATCGGGGGATTTTGGGGCCATCTAGAAGCAGCACAAGCTCTGAGGCTTAGCACAGCTCAAAATGTCAGGTGTCCCGGTTATTCTTAGCTCCGCTGCCAGTTCGCTGAGCACTCTTCAGCAGTTCGCTTGGCCTCCATGTGTCTATTCCTCACAATGTAAGAATATACATACTGCAAGATGGGGGAGGTACGGGGATCAATAAATCCCTGGGTCCCAGACAATGCAGAAAGAGCAGCATGATTTGTGACCGTGAAAGAAATACTCAGAAAGCTGTTAATCCACTGTTACCTTGGTTATTCAGGGTGTCTGTGCATAGGCTCTGACCACAGTCACACTGCAAGGAACAGCCACTAAAGGTTGGGATGTTAGCACTGGCCAAGGAACCCAACCTTTATCTTGAAACAAGGAGTCACCTCACTCCAAGCTCCTGTCAACACACAAGGACACTGGCCTGGGAGCTGAATGAGACATCATTAAGGTGACTCCCAGAAGCTGTGAAGGAAATTCAGGTTTTACCCCCAAGGATTCCTGCAGAAGGAGGGTTAAAGTCTCTCTGCCCAAGACAGCCCTGACAGCAGGCTCCAAAGTCTGCTTTGGGTTAAGTGTGGGTGATAATTCACCTTTCTCCTCCTGTACCCAAAGGCCTCTAGACTACAAAAGGAAGCTATTTTAGCAGGGGCTGTCATGCAGGGGCTCAGTCCACATTGTACCATGGGTCTGAAGAGGGATTCTCCAAGTAGGGGTTCCAGGAAGCAATGTGTTAATGTGTCAAACTACAGGCTTGTCTGATGCCTTTTGATATGGGTCCATTAAATTGATTTGCTTGTACAGTTTCTCTGAACGTGTGTGTGTGTGTGTGTGTGTGTGTGTGTGTGTGTGTGTGTACATGTAGAAAGCAGAGATCAACTTTGGTTGTGTTCCTCTGGGTACTGGTCACTTGTTTTGAGACCTGGGGCTTGCCTAGTAAGCTAGAGTGCCAGCGTGCTCCAGGGACCTACCTTACCCTGTCTCTCCAATGCTGGGATTGCAAGTGTGCATCACCACACCTAGCCTTTTTGACATGGGTTATAGGGATGGAATTCAGGTCCTCCCTCATGCTTGCATGGCAAGTACTTTACTGACTGAGCCATTTTCCCAGCCCTGCATGTATAATTTCTAAAAGACTATATGGGTGTATGTTAACTATTTCCAGGGCCAGTGGGATGGCCACAGAAAGGAAGAAAAATCTGACAGGGTCTACAGCCTTGATTGGTTGTCATGGCCAGGGAGATGACACTGGGTTCAGGTAAGAGATGCATGGCATGAACCCACAGAGGGTCACCCAGTCCAGAATGTCAGTGTGAACATGGCTGCAGTGTGATAAGCTCCAGGAAGGCCTGGTGCTGGCCTCACCTGCCTGTCATTGTCGATCACTGAGACTCACTGGAAAGGAATACCTGGGGCCCTAATGCCATCGATCCATTATTAGATGTCTCAGCTATCTCACTAATAAGTTGTATGAAATGCTACTAGCTTTACAGAGACATTTAACACTGTCCATGGTAGCCTTGTGGGGATGTGCTCTCCAGGTCTTTCTGGAAGAATAGATGAGGAGTTTTGAGTTTTGATACAGTGTTGCAGGTGTTGTTATTTTTTTTTTTAATTACCGCAAATTCATTGTCTGGGTTTTTCTCCCCTTTCCGGATGGGTCGAGAATATTCAAATCGCTGGACCTCATTCACCCTGTAAAAACTGAAGAGGGAGAAAAATAATTAGACTTTTAACTTGGAAAACAGATGATTTGCTTTTAGACTGGGGGGTAGGCAGTTGACTTCAGAATACAGTACTACAGCTCTGGAAGTGTCCCTAACCTTGACCTAAAGCCACGGCCTTGGCTCACTTTCCAGTGAGTCCCTGAAGGGAGATGGCAGCAGTAGAAAGACTGACTGGAGACTTTTACCTCCTCTTTGTCTCTGCCAGTGCTCAGGGGAGAAGAGATGCTGAGTAAGAGATGCAGGCAAGTGGCCCTGCAAAGGCTTGGAAAGGTGATGTGAAGGAGAGAAAAAGGGCTCGTGCATTCAGTAGGAATCAATAATGTGTCATTTTAGTGATATGTATATATGAATATATATGTACGTACACACACACACACACATTTGAGACAGAGTTCTAGACTTAAAGTCACAGAAATCCTCCTGCCTCTGGCCCAGCTAGCTGAATAATTTAACAATTAACTTTAGATAAATTGACAATATGTTATCTTTTAAAAAGTAAGGTGTCATGCACTCTAGTTTCATACTTTTGAGATACAGATTTAGCAGATGTCCAGAGTGGTATTCAGGGCCATAAACAGCCTGTTATCTGTCTTCCTTAGGGGAGGGGTAGGGTTGTGTTTGTGAAGGGTGTGTGTGTGTGTGTGTGTGTGTGTGTGTGTGTGTGTGTTGTGACAGAGAGAGAGAGAGAGAGAGAGAGAGAGAGAGAGAGAGAGAGAGACTGATTTAATCTCTCCAAGAGGGAATGTACACAGTGCCATCTGAGACGCTGGGTAATTCTCTATTTGCCCAACACTGCATTTTTGTGAATGCACTTGCTACAACAAACAGGCAGCCCTGGTTTGTTTCTGTGACCACCAACGCAACAGTGATGAAAAGCTAAAGGGCCCACGGAGCTCCAGGATGCCATACAAACAGACCAGAGGAAGAGCAGGCATCAAAGAGGCTATAGCTCCCACCAGGACAGAGATCAAATAGAGAACTCACCACATCAAAGAGCCACTGGGGAGGCTGACTCCACAGAGCTACCCAGTCAGTGAGGTGCAGTTCAGCATAGGTGTGTGAGCTCATCCCACTGTCATAAGTGTGGTTTAAATGCCACCGCATGACCCTGTCTGTGTTCTTATGTGGGGGTGCACACATGTGGGGAGGTGAACGTGTGCAAGTGGAGGTCATGGGACATCCCTGGGAATGGTCCTTCAGGTGCCTTCCACTTTTTGTTTGAGACGAGGTCTCTCAGTAGTCTGGAACTTTGTTTATGGGGATTCCCCTATCTTTGCTTCCCATCTTCCATTGCTGGGTTAAAGCATGAAGCACCCTACCTGGTGTGTGTGTGTGTGTGTGTGTGTGTGTGTGTGTGTGTGTGTGTGTGTGTTTTCTAGGTACTGAACTAAGTCTTCATGCTTGCAAGGCAGGTGATTTGCCGATGGAATGATTCTTGTAACCCTAGGGCAAAAGGTTTTTACTTTGTACCTCATGAGGAACAAATACTGTGATCTCTGTTCATACAAGGTGGTGACTCTACATCTAAACAGGGTAGGGGCAGGGAGGGGTCTGAACACTGTTGGGGATTCTACCCTGACTGTGTGGTCGCTAAGTATACACAAGCGGCTACCTTTCCCTCCTGGGTTTCATCTTTGCAGACCCTGGATAAGGCATCTTCTGTGCACCTCTCTAAATACTTTCTTTCCCTTCTGTGGGTGCCAGAAATCATCACCTTCAGTTGTTCTTGGTAGAGGTCAGAGAAAACATCTTCAAAGGTTAAAGTTCACACATAAAAAAGGAACTATTAGCAAGAGACCCATCATTAGCATTTCACCTCCTCCTATTGGTAAGAAATTGGGAAAGTTTACCTACCTCACAATCTGTTCAGACACTGGCCTGTGAAACTTAGGAGGCAAGTCTAGCTTGGGCTTCACTGTGAAGCACTGGATGTCTGAGGGCAAAGAGTTAAGGCCAAAAGGACAGCATACGTGACACCCAGGAGAAGCCCTGCTACCAGAAGGCACCAGTGCATCAACTGTCCCCATGAGAGGCCCTCCTGCTGTCTTAAAGGATACACTGGCCAGGAGAACTCTTAATATCATCCCCGGGTGGGGATGTCGTCTTCATTTTCTCAGCATTTGGAAACTGAGTTAATAGGCGAGCTTCAAAATCTTCCCGTCGCTCATATTCTTTTCCTCGGTAAATGAACACTTTTCCCTGGAAACAATGTCCTTTGTTAAATGACACCCCAGGTGAAGGACCAAGAAAAGTTCACACACAAGAGCGCTGGTCTTCAAAATGTGTTTGACGGTTTTGTCTTCTCCTTTTTAAGTCACTGCATTTAAGAATTGCTTGCAACTGCACTCTCTAATTAAGAACATCTGAATACATACGGTTGAACATTCCCCATGAGCTTCATCTTAGAGATGATAACCAATTAAAAATTATGGAGGAGGCCAACAAGATGGCTTAGCAGGTAAAGGCACTTGTAGCAAAGCCTGATAACCTGCGTTCAATCCCTGGAACCCACATGGTGCAAGGAGAAATGACTCCCACCAGTGATTATTTAAAGATGAAAGCCCCACAGAACTGTGACCATTGTAGGGGTCCCTCAACCTCTAATTTCTTTTGTCTTCTCCTCTTCCTCCTCCTCCTTTATTTTTTATTTATTTATTTATTTTAAAGACAGGATGTCTCTATTATGTATCTCTGGCTGTCCTGGAACTCACTCTGTAGACCAGGCTGACCTCAAACTCAGAGAGCCACCTGCCTCCCAAATGCACCACCACACCTGTCAGCCTCTACTTCCATTTTCAAGGAAGCAATAAGGATTTTTGCTTATCATACTCCACCACAACCAACCTGGAGAACCAACAAGACACTCCCCTAGCTTCTGTGTCCTGCCCCACTCACCCTGCTCTCTCAGTAACATCCCCAGAAGTTACTAACTTGTCAAGAGAACTGTTTGTCCTGCTTTTATTTTGGCAATTCATTGCTCTTTGTCAAAAGAAAAAAAAAAAAAGCATCAGCTAAGGGTATACATTTGGGACTTACTCTCTTTCGAAAATCTCCGTGTATATGTAAAACGAATTACTTTTTCAGCTTCTCTCATGTGAATTGGGTCTTGTGTTAATTTGGTTCCCAAGCACAGCAAGGAGCCTTCATGAGAATCTAGAATGGCCAGCATCAGCTGCATCTCCCTGTAGCACTCATCAAAGTCATCTTTCTCCTGCCCAAAAGAGTACAGCTCTGCAGGGTATGGGGGGGGGGTACTGGGTCCTCAGAGCAGGACCCAACTCCTAGGTGTCACAGGGAGATCAGCAGAGATGGAGGAAAGGGGAACCAGGCCGAATAGGAAGACCCTGAGCTCCTAGCCTCCCTGAAGCCTGAAGGCTGGTGATGAGTGAAGAATAGGATTTCTTTCTGGCAAGAGGGATCTGTGTGATCCTTACTCAACAATTACAAAGTCTACATAACACTTAGGACTGACTTTTGTCATTTCTAAGTAACATTCTCTGATCTAGATTTCATTGGAAGCTGTTATCAAAGGCCAGCTAACTCTGGTGTGGGTATTCTCCTTACACGGGCTACACTATGGAGGCCTTCCCTATGTGGGTTAGAGGCAGTCACTCCAAGTACATCTGGAACGAAGGGTCCTGAGACATATAACAGAGCTCTTCAAGGACCAGAGAGTGTTGTGCATGCCAGCTGAGTCATGAACAGGTGTCAGTGGCTGGAACATACCACTGCTGCTGTCATTTGAAGGCTGATGCTGTCCTTTCCTTTGCTGCTTCTGTCTAATCAGAAACTTCTCTGCATCAGTTAGTCATGCTAGGTGCTGCCTTGGCTTATGAATGGCTGTCCACAGACAGACATAGGTTGTCGACAGTGAGAAGGAGGAATACAGAGGAAAAGGTGCAAGAAAGAGACAGAGACACAGCATTTTGCTATACATTCTTAGTTCTGTGTTGACTCAGCTATAAGCCAAAACTTATGCAATTAACACATTTTCACAGAGATAAAGGAAGACTCTTACGACATGTAATTAACTACCCCTGCTGTGGCCTGAATGCCCCTGTCACCCTTCTACCTTTTATACATTGAAATAGTCACCAAGGTAATGGCAGCTGAGTGGGTGTGGGTACTGAGAAGGGACTAGAACCACAAAGGTCTCCAGAAGTTTTATTTTCTCCTACCATATAGGGTGTCATCAGAGAGGGAATCAATCTATTGATCCCTTGAGCCTGGACTTCCCAGCTTCCAGATCTGTGAGCAATAAACTTTTGTTGTTTATAAATTACCCAGTCTAAATAAATTACTACAGTCCAAACAGATTTGAACAATCTCCCCTTTCAAGCCCCAATGTATTTGGCAGTTTAACACATTACTAAGGAAGTAACAGTTTAAGGTTTGGATACACCCTCACCCTCCTGCCGCTTTGTACTTAGGTATGGCTTGAAGTATCATTATGGAAGAAATAAATGCCCTACGGTTTTTTTTTTTTTTTGGAAGAAAAATGTCAAGCAGCAAGCACAGTAATGCATAGTCTTAATTAGAAATATAAATACAGAGGCTGGGCCTACTGTGAGGCCCTAGGAAGCCTAACATCTCAGGAAGGCATAGATTTACTAGAGAGCAGACCACTCGGAAAGTAGCATGCATTTATTAAACTTTACTCCTGAAGAAGGCACAATAATAAAAATACATAAAGGCTTTAATAGAAAAGCCTTAGATGAAAACACTAATAGTATTTTCCAGAAATGTCCATTACTTTGCATTCTGCAGTAGTCCTTCCAAACACAAAAACTGAGGGGGGGGATGTACATAAAGTCAAAGATATTTATTCCTTGTGAGAATTATAAATATTAATAAGAATGCAAAAAAAGCAATGAGCTCGATTTATGGAGAGAAACAGTGCCAAGGGGACAGCAAGATAGCTCAGCGTCTGCTCTCTCAGCAGCGTGAAGTTGCTAAACATTCCGCCCACTTTTTGGTAACTAGTAATGTCATTGTCAGACTGACCCCTGCCAGGTGATCTGTGAAGCGTAATGAATATATTGCTACAGCCCGACAGAGTTATTCAGGTGTGTCGGGAAAGTCAGCTCAATATTAATCAAGCACGTTAAACTCTTTATTCTTACTTCACATTTTGTCCTTTGATGGTGGAAGTGACCCAGGATGGTCCCTGGAGCCTGCAGGATCCAGTGCTCTAGACTGTATTGCAGCTTGCCTCCCTGGGGGCATTTCATCACATGCTCAGGCAGGCTGCTGCCTTGCTGTTGGAGTTAGATAACTATATCTAAAGTTGGTGGCTGCTGTATCACAGAGGCATTCTGTGTCCTGACTCTAACAGCTCCTCAGCATGAACGTGTCTGGCCCAAGCTTGGCCCCTCTCTTCCTTGGGCCACATACATGTTGAGGCATACATAAAGACACTAACTTTTTTTTTTTTGTAAAATTGGGCAACTTACTACATGTCTTTTTTTGTGTATGTATTTTGTATGTACCCATGTGTGTACTTGCATGTAGAGGTGATATATCAACCTTGGCTGTCTTTCCCCAGGCTTTTTGTTTAAGGTAGGATCTTTTCCTGATGCATACAACAGTCATGAGACAGGGAAATAAAAACCAAGAATGTTTTCGTCAGAAATATAAGCCAATTGCACTTGGTCAGGCAACAAGTATTTACATATTCCAGCATCATCTGGATATTGGGAAATGCTTGTCTAAAAGAGCACCATGGCTATTGGTCTGGTTGTGTCTAACAACACTCCGCTTTCCCATGGAGGTTGTCTCATGGAAGGGGTAGATTTAGTTTCAAGCATTGTGGTCATGAAAATCCACTTCCGATTTCTCAGAAAATTAAAATTTTTATGTTCACAGCATCAATATTCACACCAGTCAAAGGTGGAAATAGCTCAATGTCCACCAATGATGGATGGACAAAGTATGGTATATCCACACAATAGAATATTACCCAGCTTTGAAAAGGACTTAAGTTACTATGCATGCTACAACATGGATAAAAGTTGATGCTATCATGTACAGTGAAAATAAGACACAAAAGGCCAAACACAGTATGACCCAAGTTATATGAGGAAACTAGGGTAGTTGAGTCCCAGGGTAGATAGAATAGTGCTAGGTCCTAAAGCTGGGAGTAAAGAAATGGGCTACTGCTGTTAAGTGGTATGGAGTTTTAGTTATTTTTTTAAATATACATACACATACATGTATACATACAATATATGTATACATACACACATATGTATATATACACACATATATACACCCCATACATACATACATACGTGTGTGTGTGTGTGTGTGTGTATGTGTGTGTGTGTGTGTCTATGTATGTGTGATGGTGCCTGTGGAGGCCAGAGGAAGGTAGTTGATCCTCTGGAGCTGGAGCTGGTGCTTTTGAGCTACCTCATCTGGGAGTGAGACCCTAACTCAGGTCTTCTGGAAGAGCAGCAAGCACTCATAACTGCTGTGCCATCTCTCCAGCCTAAGTTCTAGTTTTGTAAGTTGAGAAAATTCTGCAACGAGATGGTGGTGATGGCTTCTCTGTGTGTGTGCTTAAGTCACTGAACTGTACAACTAAAAATACCCCAAACAGAAAATTATGAGTGTTTATGTGTATGTACTATGTATGTACGTTCCTATGTGTATATGTGTACATACATACCACAGAGTGTATATGAAGGTGAGAGGAGCCTTGGGTGTTGGTCAATGCCCTGTACATTGTTTGAGGCAGGGTCCCTTTGTTGTTTATTCCTATATATACCAGACTATCTGGTCATGAGCTTCCAGAGGGTCTCCTGTCTCAATCTCCTATCCTTTGGTAGGAGTGCCGGCATTGGAGATGAGTGCCATGGAGTTTGCTTTATATAGATTCTGGAGATCTGAAGTTAGGTCCTCGCACTTGTGACAAGTGCTCTGTCCATGGGGCCATCTCCCCAGCTTGCTCTATATACTTTGACACACATATAAATCTCTGAGGAGAATTCTTTCAGGAAGAAAAAAACACTCAAAAATAGTATATGTAACCAGAGTCCTCATATAATTAAAGAAAATATTCTTGGTTCCTCTCTAGCACTGTAGAGTCAGCATATGACTTTGCTGGGCAAAACACCAGGACTGGAAGGGATCTCTCTGCTGAGCGAGTGACGCTGGCTCAGGACAAGAAGACTCAAACTTACCCGAAGGAATGAAGGGAACCCTTGCCCGTAATAGCCAACAGCAAAATAGTCTGGCTTGGGTCTTATCACCTTGACGATGTTTTCATAAAATTGAGCCTGCTTTTTCTGGAAAGAAAAATGAAAACTCATTTCAGGGCTGAGCAGCGTATTGGAACATCCACCCTTCTGGATTCTTCTTGGGGTTCTAAGGCCTGCACCTGGGAGAATCCTGTAGTTTTGATATTATTTTTCATACTGTCCAGCAAGGTATCCTAAACAAGCCACATTTGGTCACTAGTTATGATTTGGGGGCATTTTTAATAATCCAAGGAAAAGATTTTCCTTCACTTTTAGTGTTTTGTTTTGTTTTGTTTTGATTCAGATTGGATACTGGCAGACTTTGAAGGACAGAATTATTCTGCTCTAAATTACAGAGAAACATTCCATCATATATGTGGTCTGCTGGGCACAAAAAAGGCACGGCTTCGAAGGCAGCAACAAAAAACTTTGAGGATGTCCTGGCATGACAAGGTTCTGGCCACCACCTGTCCGCCTCCTCTTGTGGAAAAGGTGAGTGCTTTAGACTAGCTGAAACTCTCAGAGACTCTGGGCTGTCAAGCCCCCTGTATTTAGGATGTCACACTTGTTATGCATCACTAATGGAAGTTTTAACATCTTGGCCTATTTGAGAATAAACAGTGAATGCTCATGGGCTGCAATCAATGAACAGATAAAAGACAACCTTTTCCCAGGATAACAAAGAGGGAGCAGGTCAAAGCCAAGAGAACATCCAAGGTGGATCCCGATGTGAAGACTGAAGTGAGAAAATCTAGGAAAAAACAAAAACAAACAAACAAAAAACAAAACCAAAGGGAAGGCCTACCAGCAATTCACTCAGCTGCTCATAATCAAACATCTCCGTTTCGTACTGCTCTGCAAGTTCCTTGCCCAGGGCGATGGCCTCCTCCCACATCTGTGAGTGACATAGATAAAACAGAGGGACCCAGGCATGAGTCATGCATCATTATTCACAATGAAATATCCAGAAATCCACAAGATTAACATACACTTCGGGGAAATCATGCAGGAAGTATACAAGTATTTTCTAGAGGTTCCAGCCTTTGGCTCAGGACCTGCAGCCTTAACTAAACCACTCAACCCCAGGCTCATCCATCACACCAGCTCTTCCCACAGCATGGCAGTCTGCTGGCCCATCATCACCTGTCCTCCCTCTCCTGCTGCCAGTAATGGCCGCCAAGGACCATCTGTCAGGGCAGCCTTGGAGCCAGGGAAGAGACACCACAGGGTGAAGACACATTGCTAGGAACATCTACTACGTGGCCACTTCCCAAATGTTCCCACTACATAGCTGTCATGTTCCAGAATGCACACGGCCAGAAATGTCAATCCAAAGCTTCAGAATGCTTGCTTTTTGCAGATGTAAATTCTGCCAGTATTTGAAAAGGGGACTTCCCTATGGCAAGTAGTTTGAAGGTGCTTCTCCAAGCAACTTACTTTTTAAAATCATGGATAAACTTTTACTTATTTTTAAGAGTGTGTGTGTGTGTGTGTGTGTGTGTGTGTGTGTGTGTGTGTGGTGCATGTACGTGCATGCCAGTGCCCTCTGAGGTAAGAGGTGATGAAGCCCACTAAAACTGGAGTTATAAGCTGTTGTGAGGTAGCCAGTATGGGTGCTGGGAACTGAACTTGGGACCCTGTGAGAACAGTACACACTCTTAACAGATGAGCCAATTCTTCAGCCTCTAATCATCATCATGATTGTTGTTAGCATTTATTTTTTTAAGTGTGGATAAACATAGAAGTGTGACTCAGGCCTGGCTTTCCCATGGGAAAGGTAAACTAGGTGGATTGAGAAGCTTGGGTTATTTGGACGTAGAAGCTCTATAAGGTGTCTCCCAGTTGCTGCCTAGTATCCTCCTTTGGTCTTCAGTGACCCAGAACTTTCTCTAATGTCTCAAAACTGGAACATGCTTGTCTTCCTTCCCTCCGAGGAATGTATTCCCGCAAGGGCAAGGTGTGGGTGTCACTCATATGAAACTTGAGGATATTTACCACCTGCTCCTCAAAGCTCAGTACACAGAACAGAAGGTTGATAGGAAAAAACAAAGCTCAGACAGTTCTCAACAAACTATAATCCTATTCTCAAATGTCTACATTTTCATAGCACTAATTCCCATGGGGGCTACTCATTCCTCCCCACTAACATCTAGGAAAAGAACAAGACCTACTGGGGGTAGGGACAACCCCTCCTAGACAAGGGCATAGATAAGTGGTTCTTAACCTGTGGGTCACCACCCCTTTGGGGGGTCACATATCAGATATTTACATTATGATTTATAACATTAGCAAAATTATAGTTATGAAGTAGCAACATAGCAATTTTATGGTGGAAGATCACCACAGCATGAAGAACTGTATTAAAGGGTGGTAGCATTGGGAAGGTTGAGAACCACTTGCATAGATGATCATGGCGGGAGTGAAATCAAAGTGGGGTCTTTTAGCAGTTTCTAGCTAACATGATGTCCAGCTACCTGTGCTCCCTGGTTCAAGCTCTCCAACCACCTCGTAAGGGAATGTCATTTCCAGGCTGCAGACAGGGGAATAGGGGGCCGGAGAGGTAAGGAGCTTGCTCAAGGTCACAGAGCAGATATATAGCAGACTTGCATTCTTATTCTTGCAGAACATGCCATCACTTCCAAGGCTGTCACTCAGCACACTCCTGGCACAGAGCCCGGTATATGGCCTGCTAGAATGGACTCACCACAGGCTTCGGGTATTACAGACTCACTCAACTAACTGAAGGGCACACCTACACTTACATCCACCAGAGATACTCCTTTCATACCCACTGTTTTATAAACTATTGCCCTTCACCTCACTGTGGGTATTGAGATAGGGTCTCATGGACTCCCAGGCTAGCCTCCAATTCACAATATAGATGAGGATGATGTTGAACTGATTTTTCTGCCTCCACCTCCCAAGTGCTGGGATGACAGAAGTATACATTTATGTCCAATACCACTTGCTATTCTTGATGAAGAAAAAAAATGTGGTTATTGTTATATTTTTAATAGTTTGAAAAGCAAAGTAATAGTTGCTGGTAGATTACAGATATAGGGAGACCTGCTTGAAGAAGAGTCTAGAAGGAGACAAGGACACTGAGTCAAGGGTCCACACTTTGCACCTGCTCCCCTTGGCCCGATGTTCTCTCATACTCTCTGTGTACCCACATCTGCCTCTCTAGACTTCTAATGTCCTCCTCTGGAGCCTGAGTTCAGATTCCCTGAAGGACATCTTCCCCTGTAATGTTTCTGTTAGGCACCAGTGACCCATGCCTCCCTTAGTACACTTCCACTTCAAAGACAACATTCCCTTTCCTTGTAGGTCTCCTTTAGCAGGTTGTTCTTTGGTTTGTGCAAGCTAATATACATTCTCTTAGCTGCTCTGAGTTTTCAGCCTCCTAATTCACTCCCAAGCAAAAGCTTAATCTGTCTTGATCCTAAGTGACAGATGAGGTCCTTTAGATACATAGCCAAGTAATTGTTTTTTAAAAGAAATATAGGTCTCGAGTAAATATCTTATCCTGCTCACCCTGAGGTCTCACAGTTGTGTTTTCTATCAGATTTTCTATAAATACACACCCCCCCTCTTCCATGCCCCTCCAAGTGGGCAGATCCTTGTATTAAAGGATCCCATACTGGGCAGATTTTCATCTGTCCTTAATTGGACCAGGGTGCTACAGGGAGTGTGGGCAGTTCATACTTCCAACACGAGTGCCTAGGAAAATATTTCAACCTCACAGAGGAAGCGTATTCAATATGATCTAGATTTAGATTGTCTCAGTGAAAGAATCACTTTGACCTTTGCTGACTGAACCCGGGCTCAGCTCCATTCTTACAAGAGCTACAGGCTTAGCAAGCTTGAACAGCGCCAAATGAAAATGCCTGGATTCGCCGACAACTTTATTTTCTGATCTGAGGTCTTTAATCCAGTTTACAGCATCTGGGGAATTGTTGGCTATCATCTGGAGGGACACTTTGGCCTCTGTGCTCTTCCCCTTGGGATAAATTCTTCCCTCTTGAGATGGTAATCTTTACTGTCTTCCTGGACCTTTGTTTCAGGATTTCCCCTTTCTTCAAGTCCCACCAGTAGAAATCTTTCTTTTCTGATAAAACACCTTCCTCAGTGTCAGGACAATGGTAGCAGAGGAAGCTGGGGAGATGGTGCCATAAGGAAAGTGGGTGGCAGTCACAGTGTTCAATTCCCAGAACCCACATACATAGACAAGGATGGAAATCATCAGGTAAGAGTATTTGATGTGAAAGCAGGAGGAGCTGAGTTCAAATCCCTAGCATTCATACAACAAAAAAACAAAAACAAAAACACCCTGGCATGGTCTCACACAGCTGTAACTCCAACTCTGTGAGGGAGCAGAGACAGGAGGATCAATGGAGTTTGCTGACTGCCCATTGAGCTCTAAGTTATGTGAAAGGGAGATCTTGTCTCATGGGAATAAGGGGGAAAGCCACAGAGCAAAATACCACACACACCCCCAACAGTGGTGGTGGAGAATATACCAGGGATTGATTTCGATTTCTCACAAGCAAACATGAAGTGGATGACAAGGATGCAGACCCTCAAGGGTGGTAGAGCAGCAGCAGATGAAGAGACAGGTGTCATCAGAGACAGAAGGCCCTTCATCCTTCACATGGCTGCCTCACCAGGACTCCCATGGGTGACTCCGGTTTAGCGCACTTACCAGCTGTGAACAGCCCACTAGCAAAGGTGTTTTATGTGCAGCTTGACTTTCGGCCATTTTTCTACTGTTCATCCATTCTCCCTGGTAGTTATTGGGAAAAGTCACACTCAATTTCCTCCTGAATTTTCCAGAGCCTCACACAGCTTTCTGGTGTTTAATGGATAAGGATCAATGGTGTGGAAGAGGCTATGGCTTTGCTTGAGGTGCAGATGGACCAAGTGGCCCAGGACCAGTAGGAGGCCTTCTTGCTCAATGAGCATCCTTCTAGTTCTCAAATCTGAATAAGGGACCATTTGCATGTGTGAAGTAGATCTACCCATGTCCACCTGTGTGACGGGATCAAGGAAGGTTTTTGTTACTTATCCATTCTCTGGGAAGTCTGATGCTAGTCATGAATCCCTTGAGTCCAACTCTGCCTTTGTCTGTGTACATCAGGGTACAGAGTGGCCTGTGTCACATAGTAGGCTTGTTAGTGGAAAAACTTCCCTGTGATCCTACAGGCTAAAGCACAATAGCATTGTTATTGGCCCTAATACCTTAACAAAAAATAATTCCTTTTAATAGCACCAAATCACAAAGAACCCAAGAGACTTGAATACTCCACACAGGTTTGGTCTGATGAGACAGACTCTGGCTCACCCTGAGAATTTGCAAAGCCTGAGTGTGAACTTACGGCAGGATTCCACAAGGCTTACCCACAACCTTCAAAAAGGGAACGTCACAGGATGTGAAAACGTCACCCTACTTAGAAATAAAATTCAACCATCTCACCAAAAATGGAAACACATCTCTGAACTCCTATTTACAGCTCACAAGATGATACAGGCTGCATGTGGTTTGTTCTCCTTCCCACCCCACCCCCAAGTTTGGCACAAGGTAAAGTGTGAACTTCATCAACGAGATCTTATTTTATAAGAAGAGACAGAACTCTAGTTGAAAATAGTCACAGCTCCACACACCATCCAGGCCATAAATTACATATAAAGTCTTTGTTAATGGCAGACAGGGTCTGGGCTGCAGAGGTTCAGAGTCACAGCCACCTGGGCTAGGAACAGCACCCATCCTCTAAATTTTCCCAATAATGTGGCTGCTATTTTCAACTCTTGTCCTCCACACAGAAGCCTGGTAATTTTCAGTGAAGTACTCGGATTAAGGGCTTTATTGAAAATTACTAGGCCTCAGCCAAACACAAT